CCGTCTGCGGCGCCATCGCATACCCAAAAACCGACGGTTTAAGACGACGGTAAAGACGACAGAATAAGACGACATTAAGGACGACAGAATAAGACGACAGTAAAGACAACATTAGGACGACAGAATAAGATGACAGTAAAGACGACAATAAGGACGACAGAGAAAAAGATGACAGGACGACAGATTAAGACGACATCAGCAGACAACATACACGTCAACATATACTGATTTACCTGAACAAGTAGGCAAAGACTGTAGACAAAGACAAATGTATAGTACAAAGCACAAAGCATTCGACTAATTTTTGGCACAAATGGAGTCCCATAGATTTCAGACTGTGTGGCTTTAAGTCAGTTGTAATTGTTGTGTTTCATTTATCTGAGAGTGCAAGCATGATGTTGAACCAGCATCACATTGTAACATTGATTTAATTTCATTACCATTTATTTTTTGCTGAAATTTCCACATTCTTTCAATTTTAATTGCGGGTGTAATAGTGATATTGATTCAATGCGGTTAACGTTGACGCATTAACATTGATTTAACATTGTTACAATGGTTGCTTGCTATCTGGGACTACCTCTCCTCGAGCTTGTTGATGTGTGTCTGCCTCCTTTTGCATGTCAGTGTTGGTGTGTGACTCTTGTGTGAGGAATCACCGACTTATGAACAGATGAGTTGACTCTGAGAGTCCTAGTCTGATCACAGCTTCATTTCAAGTCAAGTCAAGTCACCTTTATTTATATAGCACTTTTAATAATACAGATTGTGTCAAAGCAACTTTACAGTATTAAATAGGAAATTTGTGAGTCAGTAATGCAAAAGGACAATAGTAAACACTAAATTTTCAGTTAAAGGCAGTTCATCACTGAATTCAGTGATGTCATCATCCAGCTCAGTTCAGTTTAAATAGTATCTTTGCAATCATTTGCAATCAAGTCAACGATATCGCTGGAAATGAAGTGTCCCCAACTAAGCAAGCCAGAGGCGACAGCGGCAAGGAACCAAAACTCCATCGGTGACAGAATGGAGAAAAAACCTTGGGAGAAACCAGGCTCAGTCGGGGGGCCAGTTCTCCTCTGACCAGACAAAACCAGCAGTTCAATTTCAGGCTAGCAAAGTCACATTGTGCAGAGGAATCATCTGGTTCCTGTGGTCTTGTCCCGGTGGCCGTCTGAGACAAGGTCTTTACTGGGGATCTGTATCTGGGGCTCATCTAGTTGTCCTGGTCTCCGCTGTCTTTCAGGGCTGTAGAGGTCCTTTCTAGGTGCTGATCCACCATCTGGTCTGAATATGTACTGGATCCGGGTGACTGCAGTGACCATCTGATCTGGATACAGACTGGATCTGGTGGCAGCGGTGACCTCGGAATAAGAGAGAAACAGACTAATATTAGCGTAGATGCCATTCTTCTAACGATGTAGCAAGTACATCGGGTGTTATGGGAAGTGTTCCCGGTTCCGGTTGACCTAATTAATGCAGCCTAAAAATCCTTTAACGGATTTGAATATTAGAAGCGTATTAGTGTGTTATGTGTAAGCCAGGTTGAAGAGATGGGTCTTTAATCTAGATTTAAACTGACAGAGTGTGTCTGCCTCCCGAACAATGTTAGGTAGGTTATTCCAGAGTTTGGGCGCTAAATAGGAAAAGGATCTGCCGCCCGCAGTTGATTTTGATATTCTAGGTATTATCAAATGGCCAGAGTTTTGAGAACGCAGCGGACGTGGAGGACTATAATGTAACAAGAGCTCGTTCAAATACTGAGGTGCTAAACCATTCAGGGCTTTATAAGTAATTAGCAAGATTTTAAAATCTATACGATGTTTAATAGGGAGCCAGTGCAGTGTTGACAGAACCGGGCTAATATGGTTATACTTCCTGGTTCTAGTAAGAACTCTAGCTGCTGCATTTTGGACCAGCTGGAGTTTGTTTATTAAGCGTGCAGAACAACCACCCAATAAAGCATTACAATAATCTAACCTTGAGGTCATAAACGCATGGATTAACATTTCTGCATTTGACATTGAGAGAATAGGTCGTAATTTAGATATATTTTTGAGATGGAAAAATGCAGTTTTACAAATGCTAGAAACGTGGCTTTCTAACGAAAGATTGCTATCAAATAGCACACCTAGGTTCCTAACTGATGACGAAGAATTGACAGAGCAGCCATCAAGTTTTAGAGAGTGTTCTAGGTTATTATATGCAGAGTTTTTATGTCCTATAATTAACACCTCTGTTTTTTCAGAATTTAGCAGTAAGAAATTACTCATCATCCAGTTTTTTATATCGACTATGCATTCCGCTAGTTTTTTCAAATTGGTATGTTTCGCCGGGCTGCGAAGAAATATAGAGCTGAGTATCATCAGCATAACAGTGAAAGCTAACACCGTGTTTCCTGATGATATCTCCCAAGGGTAACATGTAAAGCGTGAAAAGTAACGGCCCTAGTACTGAGCCTTGAGGTACTCCATGCTGCACTTGTGATCGATATGATACCTCTTCATTCACTGCTACGAATTGATGGCCAAATAAGTACGATTTGAACCATGCTAATGCACATCCACTAATGGAAACAACGTTTTCTAGTCTATTCAAAAGAATTTTGTGGTCAATAGTGTCGAACGCAGCGCTAAGATCCAGTAGCACTAATAGAGAGATACAACCACGATCAGATGATAAGAGCAGGTCATTTGTAACTCTAATGAGAGCAGTCTCAGTACTATGATACGGTCTAAATCCTGACTGGAAATCCTCACAGATACCATTTTTCTCTAAGAAGGAATATAATTGTGAGGATACTACCTTTTCTAGTATCTTGGACAGAAAAGGGAGATTCGAGATCGGTCTGTAATTAACTAGATATTTGGGGACAAGTTGTGTTTTTTTAATAAGAGGCTTAATAACAGCCAGTTTTAAGGTTTTGGGGACATATCGTAATGACAATGATGAATTAATAATAGTCAGAAGAGGATTTATGACTTCTGGAAGCACCTCTTTTAGGAACTTAGATGGAATAGGGTCTAACATACATGTTGTTGGTTTAGATGATTTAAATTTATACAATTCTTCCTCTCCTATAGTAGAGAATGAGTGGAATTGTTCCTCAGGCGATCTATAGCAAGCTATCTGATGCGATACTATAGCTGACGGCTTTTTAGGAGCTTAGATGGAATAGGGTCTAGCATACATGTTGTTGGTTTAGATGATTTAAGTTTATACAATTCTTCCTCTCCTATAGTAGAGAATGAGTGGAATTGTTCCTCAGGGGATCTATAGCGCACTATCTGATGTGATACTGTAGTTGACGGCTGCATGGTTACAATTTGATCTCTAATAGCATCAATCTTGGAAGTAAAGTAGTTCATAAAGTCGTTACTGCTGTGCTGTTGGTGTCACACCCATGGACTGTTTTGGTGTTTGTTTTCCTCTCCCACGTGTTCCATGTTCCCTCCTGTGACCTAGTTTCTCCCTCGTGTTGATTGTGTTCTTTGATTTCAGGTGTTCCCTCTTTAGTTTCCATGGTTTTTGATTAATTACTCCACCTGTTTCAGTTCTCCCTATTACTTTCCCTGTGTTTATTAGCCCTGTGTTTTCCTGAGTCTGGCGTCTAGTCTTAACCGTCAATCCCCATGTGCTACGTGCGTGTTCCCATGTATTTGTAAATAAAGTCTGATTCTGGATTCTCCCACGTCTCCTCGCAGTAGGCGCACCGTGACAGTTGGGACTGTTTTGGTGTTTGTTTTCCTCTCCCACGTGTTCCATGTTCCCTCCTGTGACCTAGTTTCTCCCTCGTGTTGATTGTGTTCTTTGATTTCAGGTGTTCCCTCATTAGTTTCCATGGTTTTTGATTAATTACTCCACCTGTTTCAGTTCTCCCTATTACTTTCCCTGTGTTTATTAGCCCTGTGTTTTCCTGAGTCTGGCGTCTAGTCTTAACCGTCAATCCCCATGTGCTACGTGCGTGTTCCCATGTATTTGTAAATAAAGTCTGATTCTGGATTCTCCCACGTCTCCTCGCAGTAGGCGCACCGTGACAGTTGGGAAATGTCAACACCTGTTGATGCTTTACTTTTCGTCTATGAAACCTATGTTATTCTGCGGACACCACTTAGACATCCAGCCATTGAGTGACGACAGTCTGCTATGTTTCTCGTCACCACGGTAAGCAGGGAGGGGACCAGAGCATATTACAGTGTCTGACATCGTACTTGCAAGTTCACACACATCTTTAATGTTATTTTTAGTGATCTCCGACTGGCGAAGTCGAACATCATTAGCGCCGGCGTGAATAACAATCTTACTGTATTTACGTTTAGCATTAGCCAGCACTTTTAAATTTGCCAAAATATCCGGCGCTCTGGCTCCCGGTAAACATTGGACTATGGTGGCTGGTGTCTGTATTTTCACGTTCCATACAACAGAATCTCCAATAACTAGAGCACTTTGATCAGGTTTCTCAGTGGGTGCGTCACTGAGTGGGGAGAACCTGTTTAATGGTTTGATCGGAATGGAAGAGCGGTGTTTTGACCCTATTTCACTCACTGAAATGCAAATCCATTTATAACCTTTATATAATGTGTTTTTTTTCTGGACTTTTTGGTTGGTATTCTGTCTCTATACATTAAAATAAACCTACCATAAAAATTACAGACCCTTCATTTCTTTGTAAGTGGGCAAACTTACAAAATCAGCAGGGGATCAAATAAATATTTCCTCCACTGTAGATAATATCGGATATATGCTGGGAATTAAGTTTATATTTTATCACTTTAAACAAAAGAGAGTGATAGTAAGATAGTGAGATTCAACAGAAGAGTAAAGCTACACTAAGCTACAATCACAAACCACTCAGCAGCACGGCAGACAGGAAGTCAAGGAAGGAACAGCTTGTCTTTCATATTCCAAATCACATTTGAGCATTTAGGTCCACATGTTAAGAGTGAAAATATTTCATATATTTTTCTTCTTGTCCTGCAGCAGTTAACCAGTGAAGGACGATGGCATCTGTTAAAGAGCTGCTCGCGAACTCACTGAAGGAACTGGCAGAAGATGAACTGGAGGAGTTTCACTGGCACTTAATGAATGCATATCATAAGCGTATATCAAAGTCTGAAATGAAGAATGCAAATAGATTCAAAACAGTGGATAAGCTGGTGGCATGTTTTGGACCAGAAGAAGCTGTGAATATCACGGTCGGCGTCTTGAGTAGGATGAGGCAGAATGATCTGGCTGAGAGGCTGGAGAATGAACACAAGCAAGGTAACATTTTTATTCACAGTGATTGTAACGTGAGCTGTAATGTGTAACTGTTTAGCAGTGTGACTGTTTGACTTGCACTTTCCTCTTCGCTCAGGAAATAGCATAGCACCGCCACAGCCTCCCAAGCATTTCCTAATGATTTTCCTGTTTTTCTTTTTCTTTTGAACTCTAATGCTGAGTCCCAATTCAATTTGTTTAGAACACAAATAAATTGTTAAAAAATGAAAAACATGCTGGATATGTGGGACTGATGGTTAAATAGAGAGGTTTAGATAAAGGGGCTTGTGTGATATAATAAAAAAATATTGAATGTTTTCCACATTTTATTGCATCTACAACAATTGTTAATGTTTATAAAGATATGTTAGGTCATTAACTTTTAAATGCATGATTATGCAAACATATGAGGGAAGTTATCGGTATGAAAGACCCACGACTGGCAGACCAACATGCTTCTTCTTTTTTGTACAATATGGCAGGAAATTAAATTAAACTAAATGTGGAGGATGTTAACTTTGACAAGATGATTGACCGGACCGCTTAAACGGTGATGGGATGCCCATAACTAAGCGACAGAGCAGTTTGTTAAAGAACCAATTATAATAAAGTAGTTTGTCCCAAAGCTTGCCTACTATTGTTCTGCACACCCAATAAAGATAACATTAACTCAGTGAATTATTAACTGCAGACTTTGCTCTGACCGGTCAGTCCAATTCATGAATGAATCGTTCAGTATGATTTAACAGAACCAACTTAGCAGGGTTCAAAATAACGAGGAACGACATGTTTTTATGAAATGTAGAGGAGTAAAAAGTACAATATTATGCTTTGGAATGTAGTGAAGTAAAAGTAAAACTTTCTTAAAATAAAAATACTCCAGCAAAGTACAGATACTTAAAAATATACTTAAGCACAGTAACAAAGTAAAACTACACTGTAAACCCTTGCTGTAGAAACAATGGTCAAATTCTGACAGTAACATACCATTTTCTATAAAAACAGTAATATTCTGAAGAAAACAATGCATTCTGGGTAATATTTGCCATTTTCGAGAAAGCAGTCTACAGGAATATACTGTGAATTAACAGAGCTAAAAGTTGACACTGTGTTCAAAATCACACCCTATACCCTCATTCACTATTCCCTACATTAGTTTACTTGACCGAGTGAATAAAAGAAAGTGAGTGAATTCAGACACTGATGAACACCTGATGATAACAAGCAGAATCACTGAAGGACAGAGAAACAAGAACAGAAAAAAAACAGGCAGAAACACAAGAACAACAACTGACTTCCAGCTTCAGCTTTAACACCCTTCCACACTGAGTGTGAAACCAGTTTAGTTTTATTGAAAATAATTAAGTTTGTAGTTACTGTTATGGATGTCAGTGTTTTTGTTGTGCCCTTGAACCTTGAATCTTACCATGAGATATTTTCTGTCTGCTGTAATTGTGTGCTCAAAAAGCACATTTATTACAGCAAGAAGAAATGGATCAGGTGATTTTGGTTATGTTATGATGATGCCATAATTATAGTGGACTCGTCTGAAACTCTGATCTCATCCAATGTTTAATCTTTAGTTACATGGGTGTTTTGTTTGTTTTAAATTTGTTGATCACAGTAGTTCTGTGATTCTACAGCATGAGATTGAACAATGTTTCACTAATCAGTAATTTTTTAGAATTTTAAAAACATAAAAACTACATGATGATCACGTCATTATCAATACAGAAACAGCAGTTACTGATCATCTTATTTCCTCTGTTTTTGCTGTAATAAATGTGCTTTGTGAACACACAGTTAGAACATCCAGAGAAATAATTGATATTAAAAAGTCAGGGGTCAGGAGCCCAATTGAAGCACACACTGACCACCAAAACGATAATTCAGACCAAATGTTTTCAATAAAACACAAACATCTGAACCTCAGTTAATTTTCAATAAGAGCTTCTGTAGACGTATGACAGAAACAAAGTCAAACTGGTTAGTAATAAGTGTAATAATATAATGTAATGGCTGGAAGTCAGTTGTCTTTCTTGTGTTTCTGCTCGTCTCTTTTTAGTGTTCTGTTCTTGGTCCTTTTTACTTCAGTGATTCTGTTTGTTAACAGCAGGTGTTCATCACTACTACTCAACAATCACTCAGGCCCTGTCCACACGAATGCGGTTATTTTTAAAACCGCAGCTTTTTCTACGCGGTTTGGCCGTTCGTCCACACGCAAACACAGCACCAGGTCACTGAAACCGAACATTTTTGAAAACGCCTGCCAGGGTGAGGATTTTCAGAAACTCCGGTTGCAGTATTATCGTGTAGACAGCGAAACAGGAGTTTTTGGCTTGTGACGTCGGAGCCTGCGCTGTTATCTCCGCCTACTGGAAACTTTTTCAGGCTTCTGATTGGCCAACATGGCTTTACGGTTGAGATTATATCGCCACCTGTTGGCTTGGCATGCTCTTGACAGTACTTCATAGCATGCGTTTGCGTTTTCATGTGGATGGAGATTTTTTTTAAAACCGAAGAAGGAAAATCTCTGTTTATAAAAATACCCGTGTACGTGTGGACATGGCCTTACATATTCACTTAATTATCTCACTGCAACCCTGCGTCAGTGTTACTTTTTCTCTTTGTAGTGTGGACACTACAGGATTTTCCTGTGGGTTGAAAGGGTTAAACGTGTAAGATAAAAAGACAGACCCACAAAATTTATTTTAACAGTAATAAATTGTGAATTAATTTTATGGCAAACAACCTGTAGAAAAACAGCAATGCATTGTAAAACCTAACAGCAAAAAAAACTTAACACTGAAGAGTGTCAAATTACCACTGAAGCAGTGTTAAAGTTAATGAGATAATTAGGTGATTAATTAAGTGATGATTGACGATTATTGAAGACACCTGATGTTAACAAGCAGAATCAGGAGAAAAATCACAATTTTAAGTCAGCTTTATAGTGGTCAGTGTTTGCATTAGTTAGCAAATTAGCATTGGCTCTTCACTCTTAAATTTTTATCATTTGATTTTGTTTAGCTGCTATAACTGAGTTATAACAACCAGACAACCCAGAGGAAAGATGATCATGCGGTGTTGACTATGTTTTGACATAATCATCATGTAGTGACCTGAATAACTGAGTTACGTAATCTGATTGATTATGTCAACACTGTGAACTACATAAGATCTGGCATTGTCGGTATAATCAAACAGATGTTTGTTTGTTTTTACTTATTTTGACCAAAAACTAAAAAAAAAAAATATATACAATTTAGACACACAGACATCAAGATTCAGCGTGAGAATCACAACAACAGTGACCATCAAAAAAGCATGTTGTAGCCAATCAAAACTCATCCATGGCTCCCATCATGCATTGCAGCATGAATAAATTATGAGCTGAATTGTCTTTGTAATTTCTTTTATCTTTACTATTTTCTTTTATTTTTGCTGTTTTTATGTGACTTTTTAGTAGCTTGTTTTGTGATCTGTTCATTTGAATATGCTTTGAATATGAATATATATTTGGCACCGTTGTTGAGATTCTTATGTTGATTCTTGATGTGTGCCTAACACAAAAACTTTTTTGATGTTTTTTTTTTTTTATCTGAACAGCTTGTAAGAATATGTAACTTTAAATGAGTTCAGTGAAGTGTGGCTGTTCTAATTCAGTTATAGCAGCCAAACAAAAAGTAAAACTAAAAAGTCAAGGATCAAGAGCCCAACTAAGCAAACACTGACCACTACAATGGTGACTTTAAAAAAGTGTGATTTTCTCCTTTGCTAATTCTGCTTGTTAACATCAGGTGTCTTCAATAATGGTCAATCATCACTTAATTAATCACCTAGACAGACATCAAGATTCAGCGTGAGAATCACAACAACAGTGACCATCAAAAAAGCATGTTGTAGCCAATCAAAACTCATCCATGGCTCCCATCATGCATTGCAGCATGAATAAATTATGAGCTGAATTGTCTTTGTAATTTCTTTTATCTTTACTATTTTCTTTTATTTTTGCTGTTTTTATGTGACTTTTTAGTAGCTTGTTTTGTGATCTGTTCATTTGAATATGCTTTGAATATGAATATATATTTGGCACCGTTGTTGAGATTCTTATGTTGATTCTTGATGTCAGTGTGTGCCTAACACAAAAACTTTTTTGATGTTTTTTTTTTTTTATCTGAACAGCTTGTAAGAATATGTAACTTTAAATGAGTTCAGTGAAGTGTGGCTGTTCTAATTCAGTTATAGCAGCCAAACAAAAAGTAAAACTAAAAAGTCAAGGATCAAGAGCCCAACTAAGCAAACACTGACCACTACAATGGTGACTTTAAAAAAGTGTGATTTTCTCCTTTGCTAATTCTGCTTGTTAACATCAGGTGTCTTCAATAATGGTCAATCATCACTTAATTAATCACCTAATTATTTCATTAACTTTAACACCGCTTCAGTGTTAATTTGACACTCTTTAGTGTTACTTTTAACACTCTCGAGTGTGGACTCCAAAAAACTCCCGGGAGAGTTAATTTAACACTGGACTTTTTGCTGTGAATTTTGAACTCAACAAAAGGAGAGTAAATGCTGAAATTAAGTGTTATTCTATGTGTTTTTACATACAATGATATAGGAGAGATCTGTTATGCCGAGTTCACACTGCACGATTTTCAAAGACGTCGCATCACTGTTGGTTTCACACTGAACGACTATCTGGGGTAGCATTCAGTTGTTGCTGTGTTCACACTGCACGATGGAACGAGACAGGAGGTTACACACTGCATGACTTCACAATAGGAAGAATTGCCGACAGCTCTGTCTGGTGCAGGGTTGCCAGGTTTTCGCTACAAAACCCGCCCAATTACTACTCAAAACTAGCCTGAAAATAGCCCAATTGCTTTCGAGGGGGTCCCCCAGTAAAAATCGCATTCGGGGGGAAAATACACCGGCGGCAATCGCGGATTTGGCAACACTGGTCCGCAAACTACGTTTCATATAACTCCTCCCCGAACTTCCCGCTGCCCTGTATCTTGGTCTCTCATTGGCTGTAGGTCATCGCCGATGTAGTTTTCAGTCAGAAACCATTGCACACAGCGAGATTGTGAATCGCCGACAGCTCTAGATATTTAGCATGCCAAATATTTCACAGGCGTCGGCGACGTGTTGGCGATTCTCTCAGATCGCGTCTTTGATAATTCACATTGTGTGATTGTCACTCGCGTGAACGAGCACCGATTTGCCTCCGATTTCGGGCATTTGTCGGCGATTTCGCAAAACCTGTCGGCGAGTGAAAAATCGGGCTAAAATCGTGCAGTGTGAACTCGGCATTAGTGTTGAATGTTCTGTTGGGATTAAAGAATTTCTGTTTGTCTGAGTTTTGTGAGGTTACCATCATGCTGAAGAGTAGAGTCTGTGCTTCAGTCCAGAGACAAGTAACACTGATAATATGAATCATGCGGCTTTATCTAAAGGCAGTAGCAGTGTAGTTGCTGATGCAGTGTAAATCTTTTTATTAACTCCAATTGCACACGCATTGGTGCTGTGGTTAACTAGCTGTTATCTGCAAGAAATTTAATTTTGATTTTTTAAAGGGATAATTGGATGCCTATTTTCCACAAGTTGATAAGATTATTTAAAGTTTCTCAATGGTAGTTTAAAACAACGCTCTTTTTATCTTGTCCAAAACAGCTGTGTTCACAGTGACCCGTTTTGGTGCATGTCCCTTTAAATGCTAATGAGCTCTTCTCACCCCGCCCCTCTCTCTGTGGGGTGAGCAGCTCTCTGAGGGACTGTTAACTTTAGGGCAGGTCTGTGATAAAACGCCAGTGTCCATCAACAATCGTGGGAGGGGCCTGTGCAACATGATGTCACTTTGCCAAGAATCTGTGAACGGATTGATCTGAGACAGTGCTTATTATTTGTGGGGATTTTAAAAAAAAGCACTGGGGGGATTTTTATCATTAGAGGGTGGTTGTGTACACACACTGCCAACACACATTTAAGTTAAAAAAACATGTAAAAATGAATTTTGCATCCGATGACCCCTTTAATGATTGTGTTTCATTCAGTTATTTTTGCTTTAAGAAATATTATTTCTAAGTAGACTCAAATGAAATATGTTCAAAGTATTAATATGTTCATGTTAAAAATATTATTTTATAAGCTTAATAGGCAGTTGGCCAATTTAAAGAAGTCGGTTTCTAAAAATGAAATTAGTTAACACAAGTTTTAATTTAGTCCACGATATCTTTACAGTAAAATACTGTAAACTAGACTACAGTAAAGAACTGCACAATTGACCGTTCGCAAAGAGCTTGATTGACAGGCGATCTGACCAATCATAACGCCAAATCCGCCATTTTGTCTGACAAACAAATCAGACAGGAGAGTAGATTAACTTCGGAAGACAAACTTGAAAAGTTGTGTGTATTGATGTCTTTCCGCTCTTTAAATAAAATACGTTCTGATGTTCATTCATGTTCATGTTGCGCTTTAAGTAAATATGAAAAGACGAACGGTTTGAACTGAGGCAATACAGAAATCTGTCACGACACATTAAAGAGCCACAAAACGGTATTTATTGTTTGAATTTCTTAAAAAATGACAACATTTGAAAGCTGAGAGACCATGTTTCATACCAGATGTATCCTGCTCTGTCTTGTCTGTCGGGGGGTTGTCAGCTTCCTCTTTGCTCCGCGATGTATTTTTCTCTGTGTGAGAACATGATGTGTAGTGTGAGAGCGGCATGGCTTGTCGGACATGGCAACTAAGGAGGGCAGGTCTTTGTGAAGGGTCAGTTAACAGTAAATTACTGGCAACAGTGTTGCCAGTGTTTTATTATTAATTTACAGGGCAAGGTTTTACAGTGTACTTTGTTACTATCCACCACTGGAGAGAAATGAAAAATTAAGTTACTAATGCTGAATTCTTATTGATTTTGCATAGATAAACAGATAAATAGATAAACAGAACAAGCTGACCATCTGAAACCCACCACCCCCCACCCCAAGACATCCCCCAGGTCCAGGCCACATTACAATAAATTGCAATCAAATCAAATTGCCTGCAAAAAAAACAAAAAAAAGTTTACAAAGAAAAAGAAACATTTCAAAAACAAATGATAATAATAACAAAATTAAATAAATAAACAAATACAGTTTAAAAATGGTAAAGTCAAGTCAGGTCACCTTTATTTATATAGCGCTTTTAACAATACAGATTGTGTCAAAGCAACTGAACAGCATTAATTAGGAAAATAGTGTGTCAATAATGCAAAAGTGACAATAGTAAACACTAATTTTCAGTTAAAGGCAGTTCATCATTGAATTCAGTGATCTCATCATCCAGCTCAGTTCAGTTTAAATAGTATCTGTGCAATCAAGTCGACGATATCGCTGGAAATGAAGTGTCCCCAACTAAGCAAGCCAGAGGAACCAAAACTCCATCGGTGACAGAATGGAGAAAAAAAAATACTTAATGAATTGTTGGTCCTACCTTGTTTTGGTATCCTGTTATGTTTGAATGTATATAAAAATGCAGAAAGAAATATACAAGTAATAAAGCAAATAATTTGTTGTCGTAGATATACATTTTCCCCCAACACCTATATAATTAATGTTACCCTAATTTATTCATGTTAGGTTTTTGTTTTATATGTCACTAGTTTCCTGTTTAATACTGTAAAGCTGCTTTGACAAGCTGTATTGCAAAAAGCACTACATAAATAATCGTTACTAACTTACTTACTAATATCATCACTGTATGGAAGGTAATATGCACATTTACTGAGGACTTTCTGTTTTATATTCCCATAATGACTACACCTTTTTCTTTTGTTTTTCCAAGGTGGCAGGTGTACAAAAATAAAAGTAAAACGAGAGATGATGAATGAAAGACAGTCATCAGGCACTAAAGCATACCAGACAACAAGTTCTGAGACATTTATTAGTTTAGCAATACATTTTGGCAGATCATACAGTGGATATGCCTTCAGCTTTCAAACCCAGCAGCGTCAGGACAGAATTATGATTCCTTCCTGGGGTGTAGAGTATGGGCAAAGAAACGCTAAAACCCCCACTAGCATTTTGTTTGATGAAGATCAAAAGTTTCTGGCATTTGGTTATGATGCCATGATGAAATACACACGGCTAACTACAAAACTTAACAGAAAGAAACACTATCTGTTTGAACATTTTATGAAGGAGCTCTATGATAAGGTAAGTATACATATTATATAATCATTCATTTGTGTCATAAAAGATCTGGGACTTCTGCTCATTGATATTTTGATTGTATTTCTGCTAAGGAAATCCACCGAAATTTGATGATGACAGCAAAAAATGGAGCACAAATGAAAGCAATGATAGTTTTTTCAGATAGTCTGCGATACTTTAAGGATCATGCACTGAATCATATTGCACAGAACACATCTGGAAGGAAAGTCAGTGCATCTGACGTGACCTGGGTGTTGACTGTTCCTGCGATCTGGCATCCAGCAGCCAAGCAGTTTATGAGAGAAGCAGCTATTGAGGTGAGCTGATCATGTAGGATACAAAAAAAACTAATAAATTAATGTATTCCAGCATGTTTTCTGGCAGTATGTAAATAAAGATTGATTTTTAAAGTGATATTTCAGAGTATAGGTCACCCACAATAAAATGGTGTCATTATTTATTCACCCTCATCATTACAAACCTATATGTTTTTGTTTGCTTACTGTGGAAAACAAAGATATTTTGAAGAACACTCACACTGCTGTTTCCCATGACCACAACTGTCAAGCTAAAAAAACAAAAAAAACAGAAAAGTTGACCCAGATAGCAAGCAACAATTGAAACTGTTAAATCGATGTTAATGTGTCAACGCATTGAATCAACATCACTTTTGCACCTGCAATTAATGTTGAAAAAATGTGGAAATTTCAGCAAAAAATCAATGGTAATGGCATTAAATCAATGTTACAATGTGATGATGGTTCCACATCATGCTTGCACTCTTAGAAAATGCAACAAAAAACACAATTACAACTGACTTAAAGCCACACAGTCTGAAATCAACCAAATAAAAGACACTAAATCTCTCAAGATCTCAGCAGAGAACAATTAAACAACTTCACAAACAGCATCACCAGCTTCACTTGTTACTAATCAGACTGATTGCATTTCTGTCAGACGTCTACAGAAGTTCTTATTGTGAATTAACAGAAATTTAGACATTGATGATTTTTCGTTTCAGCTTACAGCGCTTTAAAACAATGATCATATTTCAACTAAGTCCAACAGTATTAAATTTCCCCAGACAGATGCTAATTACTCTCGTATTGTGACACACACACAGACATCAACAATCAGTGTATGAATCTCAACAATGGTGACTATCAACATAAAGCTCCATGTTGCAGTGCATTCTGGGTGCACCAATCAAAACTCATACATGGCTCCCAGCATGCAATGCGGCATGAATAAATTATGCAGCTGAACTGTCTTAGTATTTTCTTTTATTCTTACCATTTGCTTTTATTTAGCTATTTTTGTTATGACTTTTTAGTTGCTTGCTTTATGATGTTCAGAATTGATCTTTTTATCTGAATTTGTTAATTGTCACCATTGTTGAGAATAATAAGCTGATTCTTGATGTCTCTGTGTGTCTAAATGGCACTGTAGTTTCAAATATTTTGTGCATATGATTTTTTATATTTTGTTTCATAATAGTTTGTCATTTTATGTTCTGGAGATGTAAACTTATTGTAAATTACGTTAATCTAATAATAAAACACACCATATCATTAGAGATTAGCCACTGATTGAAATCAGTGAATCAAAAGTCCAACTGTTAATTCTCAAATAATGTTTGTAGATATATGACAGAAATAAAGTCACACTGGTTAATAATAAGTGAAGCTGGTAATGCTGTTTGTGGAGTTGTTTAATCATCCTCTGCTGTTTTATTTCAGTTGGTTTCATTTAAGGCTGTGTCAGTTGAAGTTTAGTTTCTTGTTCTTTTCTTCAGTGATTGTGCTTGTTAACAGCAGGTGTTCATCATTGTCTGAATTCACTCATTTGTTTTCAATCACTCTGTCCGGTGGACTATATGAGTAAACTAATGTAGGGACTAGTGAATGAGGGTGTGGGGTGTGATTTTAAACAGTCTCTGAGTGTCGACTCTGAACGCCGTTAATTCACAGCATACTGCAGAAGGCTAGCAACAAACTAGCATTGTGTTTGATACATTCTCGAAAACAACAAATATTACTCAGTAAAATCCTGTTGAAAACAATGCATTCTGTTTTAATAAAAAAACAGTATGTTACTGTTAGAATGTGGCCGTTTGTTTTACAGCTATTTTTTACAGTGCAGTTATAAGTTTAAGTTTAAGTTTATTTCGAGCAATATATATATATATATATCAATCAATACACATACATAGAAAAATAGAACAGTTTATCTCACATACATATATATGTATCCATACATAAACAATTATGATACACATATCCATACACATATTTACACATATAATACTTGCTCGAAAGGGAGTGGAAAGAAGTAGAACTTATTTGCTCCCACCCCCAATTCATTCCCATATATTACACCATATGGTTGCTGCCATTGTCTGTTACTAATAATTTATGTGATATTATAATAGTTATATACAAATACCCAAATACAATATGTCCGTCTCAATAATCACAATAATACATTATAATAATCCTCATTATCATAAACATTCTAATATGTCCCAGTATTTATAATCATGTAATATATCAAATATAACCATATCCTATTATATTGTTAAATCACAGTTTTATAATAACAATAATAATATTTATAATAAACATTAATATCTGCTCCTGTCATTATCATTATTATTATTTGCTCAGCTATGTAATCGTATCCCGTTCTGTTGTAATTATATCACCATTTATAGTATCAATATTAATAGTAAGAACAATTATGATCATCCCTACTACCGTTTTTTATACAATAACCATCACCCCATAATCACAATCCTTATAAGGCTGAGGGAGGGATCTTGGTGTTCTATTTTTTCAACACCATTTCTTTGTATCTTGATTTAAATCGGTAAATATTTGGGCATTGCTTGAGCTGTGTCCCCAAACCATTCCAAAGTTTGACACCACACACAGTTCTCACCACCTGGACGTTAAGGTTCCCACATCCCCTCAGATTATAGGCCTTGGCATGTGTGAATTACTTGCGTCTGTGTGTCTCTCTCTACAAACAATGAAGTTGTGAGTTTAGTTACTTAAACAGTGATTTTACCACCTCGTTGCTGAGGAATATAATGTAGCGATCCAGTATCTAGGCTATTCTATTAATAAAAGTCACGGGGCAGCGTTGACAACAAGTTAATGTACTCCTGAATGTATTTGTGTTTGCACAGTGTGATCTCTCTCTCTCTCTTTCTCTGTGTGATTGTGTGCAAATGATGTGTGTGTGTGCTGCGTAAAGCAGTACATTAATATAGAACGGTAATTAAACTGATTTGAAATGACCTGTGCATTAAACGGTTTTAATGCCTACCTGCCAGCCAATCAGAATAGAGTATTCACAGACCATGGTATAATGACAATTAATTAATAATTAACACAATAATTATATTACACCTAATAGTAATATACATATTAGAACACATATTGTGTTCCACAACTACCATAATTGTAATAAAAGTAAAATGTATTCCTTAATAGTTAATAATAATAAAAAAACACTGTACAGTAAAATAATTAACCACTTTAATTATATGGGGGAAAACAGTGTGGAAATTCTGATGCACATAAACTTTTGCATTACAAAATAAGCAAACAAACAGCAACAGCAAAATATTTGATATGACAGGGTCTCAAAAAAGACTTTATTTAAATGAAACTAATTACATTTTTATCATTAACTACTTCCACTATCTTTTTCTTTTTTCCAGGCAGGTCTTGTGACAGACTCTGAGCCAGAGAAGTTTCTCATTGCTTTAGAGTCTGAGGCTGCATTTGTTTACTGTAAGCAACTACCAAGTGAAGGCTTTATAGCAGAGGAGACTTTTCAAGAAACACTGGAACAAAATCCTGGAACCCAGTTTATGGTTGTGGATTGTGGAGGTATATATCTATAGACTTGTTATTTTCTATTCTGTTTTTCTCTGACAGTGTACCTTTTAAACCCCACAGCAAAATCCTCAGTTTTAAATGAACACTTGTAGGCCAGCTTTCACAGACAGTATTTAGCTTAGGTCAGACCTTAGTTAAATTAGGATATTTAAGCTGCTTTTATAAAAATGCCTTATGCAAAAACATTACTGGTGTGCATCTTGAGACAAAACAATGGCACTGACTTTTTTTTAAGATATGTCAGTGAAAGTTATTTTTATTTGAGACAGATCAAACATGCCTTTTAGTCTGGGACTAGTCTTAAGCCTTGTCTGTGAAACCAGGGGATAATATATCCACACTATACTGTAGTGTTAGAGTGTTAGACTGAAGCAGTGCTGAAGTTGAGATCATTCTGTGATTAATTAAGTGCTGATTGAGCATTAGTGATGAACAGCTGCTGTTAACAAGCAGAATCACTGAAGAAAAGAGAAACACAAGAACTACAACTGACTTCAGCCACAGCCTTAGAGGAAATCAACTGAAATAAAAGACAATAAATCTCTCAAGATCTCAGCAGAGGATGATTAATCAACTCCACAAACATTATTACCAACCATTCTTCCCCTTTCATGTAAAGTGCTTTGAGTACCCAGAAAAGCGCTATATAAATGTAACAAATTATTGGTTAAAACAGACAGCTTATAGTGCTTTAAAACAATGATTCCATTTCAACTAGATCCAACATTGTTAACTTACCCATACAGACTTTTAGACAGAAGTTAATTACGTGTGCATTGTGACACACACAGACATCAAGAATCAGCATATGAATGACCCCACTTTATTAGTATTTAAATAGTATATATTTACGTTGAACTTTATTCTTGAACAGATGGCGCTGTATTAAGCAGTACATAATCAGTATATCTGTAGCTCATGAAAACGTTTCTGAAATGTCTGTATATTTGACAAATATTGCATTTAATTCACTTCATCTGTGATAGAGTATGCAAACACCGCGCGAGCGTCACTAACGGGAGCAGAAAGTGTCCGGCTTGACGGCTCGTTGCGTTGTCAAATCTGCCCCCGACTGCAAGCGGCTACTCTCGTTGATCGCCGTCTGTAGCCCTGCTTCAAGTCGAACGCACCTATTGTCTAGTCATGTGATTCCCTTGTCTGTGTCATGTTCTCATTGGTTGTCTTAGTCATGTGTCTTGTTTCCCATTGGTTTGTTCTTGTCATGTAGACCCTCTTGTTTGCTATAAGTAGCCATCATGTTGCCATTGTCTCTGGTCGTGTATTGATGTTGTAA